TCTGCGTGTGTATGCCTTCATTTTTTTCTTTATGAGCATCGAGTCGATGTTTTCAAAAGGGGCACTATTGCCACATTATATGCTTGGTTGAGATCCAGGAGTGAAAGAAGACAACGACGATCTGTCTGAGCTGCTGCTTGGCTAGTCGACTCAACGAACCCATTAAACCAAGTTGGTCGTAAGAAACATGACAATACATACATACATACATACATACATACATACATACATACATACATACATACATACATACATACATACATACATACATACATACATACATACATACATACATACATACATACATACATACATACATACATACATACATACATACATACATATTACATACGCGCACACACGGTCCTATCCACTATTTAAACACGCAGTTTAGTTTCGGAATCGATTATCGTTAAGGTATGCCTCGAGAACGTGAAAAAGTGTTCTCCGGGTGTGAAGGTATGCACGATTGAATATATGAGTTCTTTTAATGACTGGCCTCTAAAAATTGTTTACTAGTGTGGCTTTTATTATGCGCTCTCTGCTCACTGTGTTTTTTAGCCCTGCGCCGAACTGTAAACATTCGTCGCACGTACAATGGTGGCCTACATTTAATGAGATGACCAATGTGGCTCACCTTTCTACAATGCTTCAGCTCGAGGAACATGCAGTTAACTTGGTGCACAAAGCCGCGTGGTCACACATGTTCCTTTTAGACAAAAACTAGTCCGTTGGCTATACGCACTTGCATTCTCTTCAAACCAATTCTCATCGTAAATGCACATACGCGAAACGTAGTCAGTCTGAGCAACCGAAAATCTCAGCGTTCGTTTTATCACTTTGCGTAACCAGCATACGCGCACTTAAAAAGTGGGCTTGATAATGACAAACCCACGCTACGCACCATGAATTATCACTAGAATCACTTATCAAGAATAGCGTGGTGGGTTTACATAAGTGTGATGACCGATTCCTATGATGATAGTCCTTTGTTCATTATAAAACACTAACATAACAAACGTGTGAAGAATTCATAGCTTTAGATGTTATTGTTATAGGCATATATTTGAGGAAAGGTATATATCTAATGCTATGGCTATGTTTCACGTAACAATATGAATATTTCCGAACACGCATCGCCTAAGTTTGAAAGGTGTGTGTGTGTGTGTGTGTGTGTGTGTGTGTGTGTGTGTGTGTGTGTGTGTGTGTGTGTGTGTGTGTGTGTGTGTGTGTGTGTGTGTGTGTGTGTGTGTGTGTGTGTGTGTGTGTGTGTGTGTGTGTGTGTGTGTGTGTGTGTGTGTTGGACGTACGGTAATGAGTCTATTGTCTCAGTGGTGCGATGCACCACGTAGACTTTTCAAAGCGTGCTGTCGCAGACATCCATCCAATGGGACATAGTTGCATACACCTCTGAGATAAAATGCTCTAATTACGTCTGTCCAGGTGGCAACGTTCGCAGACGAGCGGGCGCTCAAGGAGCGCATGAACTTGACGTACTCGGACAACATGGCCATGGCTCCCGTGGCAGTTTTCGACATCGACCTTGACGACTTTTACGGAAAGTGTGGGAGAGGAATGTCCCCGCTCATACGAGCCATCGCCACCGGTCCCGTTTGACTGCGTCAGTGTGACGTCACTGAAGGAGGGCCGGCAGTCTAGCGCGGACCTCTGAAGGGGATAGGTGAAGTGTTGGACAATATTAACCACTCATATCGTGTCTCCGGCAAAGTTCTCGTTTCCGGTTGGAGAACGTGATTTGCCTTTACTGGGGCGCGCAAAAAATGGTCGTGTTTTTGTTTCTATTAGCGAAGGCTAAATAATGCTGCCACTAAATATAAAACACATGTAGAAGGCACTGTTTTCATTCCGACAGGAGTGCTAATACCGGCGTCCTCAGTCGCTGGATAAATTATTCAGATGGTCACCGGAAAACGACCTAAACAAAAGGATCAACTAATCTATATCGGTAATTGTTTTATACCACTAAATATATTTGTCAAAAAGAGTAGAAAAAAGAACCTGCCACCTTATAGCAACATTAACGTTGTACTATAGTCAGGGTAACATGACCAGGACGAGCGTGAGAATCTAATTGTGAGCAGTTCAAGTCACTTAATTTATGTACTGAAATTGTGAAGAACAACAAACCTTAATTCAGGGAAGGGGGAAAAGAATTGAACAGCTAAATAGGTTTTTCTCTACGTCCTTGTCCTCACAGGTTTAAATACTTACTTCAAAAAATGTTATATACTGCAGTGCATCGAATTCAGGCTTACGTACCACCGCCTGGTGCGTAGATACTGCATTATAAAAAAATGTAGGCCAAACGTGTGAAGTCCGCAGTGTGACTTCTGCGTGCTTTCAGGTGAAAGCTCCGATGCGTAAAATTTATTTATGTATAAAACTATGCGATGCAAGTTTGCAAACACACCAGCCTGATGAAATTAGGTCTAACTGCCTTGGCACACACACTGAGACTGCTCATAAAATCTGATATTCACTTCTGCGAAAATAGATGCTAAACTCATAGAAGCTTCCTTCCAGTAATTGATAATAGTTTGTGGTACAATCACTTGTACTGTCTTTAAGAACGAGAAAATCGAGTTTCACTTCTGTTCCTTTGATGCAGCCTGCGGGAACCTCGACTACGAAACTCCCTTCGTGTCATACCACGAACACGCCTCTCATCATAGGTTAGAATGTTGAATTTTTTCTCCTCACACAAACGTCGAGTGAGTACAAGCAATCACTTACACAGAGTGGCAGACCCATATATACATACCACCAAGGACACTAAGCAGGATGAGTCCCAAGTTCTCTACTGTAAGCCCACACTGTGACACGATTGTAACCACTTCGACCACATGCTCTGGTTGTTCCCTGCCAACATGAGCACACACGTTTCTGAACAGTCCTCCTAGGACTCGGGCATTCGAAGCACAGAGCCCATCGCACAGCTCAAGGATGTCAAGAGGGACCGGGCCGTCGCCGAAGGACTCTGTCTGCCTGCCCCGACATTGGTGGAGCCGCCGGAATTGGGGCAGGGGGCCTTTCAGCACCGCTTTTTTTTCTCTCGGGGCCTCCATAAAGTTCATACTCACTTACTTCCTCACTCACTCTTTCACTCAGTCGCTCACTCTCACCGACTTCATGTTCTTTACAGTTGCGCAAGTAGGTATACCACAAATACAACGTTATTATTACTGTAACTTCATTTTTTACCTACAAATAAAAACCTTCACGAACCATTTCGAAGCATTTTTTGCGTTCCCATAAATAAATTGAACCATAACTGTTCGCGTTGGGCCAAGCCTTCTTTTTATTAGCGTGGCCCCATGAAGTTGGACATCAAATGCGAACAAATGAAAAGCTCTTTTGTCGTACCTGTCTATCCATTTTATCGAGCCATAACACCAACGGCTTTGTGCTCTCCTTGCCACAATTTCTATACTCTCCTTGCCAATTTCTATGTACTGAAATAGGCAGATTCCTTTTTTATCTTGTAATCCCTCCAGATGTCGCCAGCTACAGCAACTAAACAGCAGTGGCGCTCTCAAAGGTCCACCTACTTACGTTGAACATCTACGTTCCAGAAGATGCTTTGCTGCACGGGACAGGTCTTATTTTCATGTGATCATGTACATTTTGAAAGCACATCTCGAGACCTGTAGTCCTAGAGAAGCCTATATAACGCCGCTACGCCGTGTGGTTTTCGGGGAAAAGGACAGCAAGTCTATTATGCAGTCACCGTGTGAGAACTACTTCGTATCCGGATTTTGTAAAGAATGCCGTCTCGCTGGCAGAGTGAAACGTGCCAGTTTCGTCCCTTTCCATTACGAGGATTTGATAACCACAAGTTTGCCTCATTTTGCCGTCATATTGTTTAACTAATATTAGCTCAGCGGGGCTATTTATCGTGATTACCAGTACAGTATACCCGTCGAGAATGGATGCTCTCTCCAGGTCTAATTGTGTTACTCGCCACGCTAGGCAGGCGTTAGTCATTTTGATTTTGACGTGGGAGGAACATTACTGCATTTAAAGATGAACATTGGGGACACCGCTTCAACAAGCTGAGAGTCAGAACATTTAATTAGTATTGATTATTGAAGCAGTATGAAAGAGCTATTCTCCATTTTCGTAAGAGTGATGAATAGATAGGTATAAAAAAGCACAATGAAAATTTTTGAATACAACGTGAAGACACCATTTTCGTAAGAGTGATGAATGGACAGGTATAAGAAAGTATGACGAAAAGTTTTCAATACAACGTGAAGACAACACGATTCTTTTCACTTTATGCACTCTGAACACATTTTTGTTGACCAGCATATCTTTCGTACAAGTTCACCCTTGTTTCGACAATAGTTAGCAATTTCACTTTGTCTTATACTTATATGGCGATGCACGATTCTTCGACAACGACAGCGCTCTCGTATTTTTGCAAACATTCTTGCTGCAAGACCTGGGTGACTATTTTTATACTGCCTCATCTTGAATAATGGTCCATTAGACACAATTACTTATTCTCGTTACATTGCTTTTGTATACTGTTTTTTACATTGTTTTTGGCTGAAAATTACACAGCCTTACGGTCGTTAGTGATTATTGTAGTGATTTTGTCAGAGAAAACTGGTCAGGATCTGCCATCTCGTGTTTTTCTGACGTTGTTGAAGTTACCCAGTGTCATCCACACACGCTTTTAATTTAGCGGTAGAAGCGTTTATCATTCGCAAAATAAAACCCAAAACAGGCACGCTATTTTGCGTCCACATTACGGTGGGAATGGTTCCCCATAGTGCTAACGCAACATAAGGCCTTAAAGTTAGAGAAATCAGGTATATTTCATCGAGCAATTCGATTCTGTTTCTTTCTAAGGAAATTTCTGAGCCCCGCCACACAATAAAGAGCATATAATACTGTCATGAAGCTCGTCAACAGTTATTTGCACGTCGTCGAACGTGTCATCTGAGGCTCCTTTGATGTCGTCATCTAAAAAGTCAGCCGGGACCTGTGGCCAGAGCTCGTATGAGCGGCGACAGGCCGTTCCCGCATTCGCCGGCAAAGTCGTCCAGGTCAATGTCGTACACCGCCACCGGTGCCAAGGCCATGTTGCTCGAGTACGTCAGGTTCATGCGTTCCACGAGTGCCCGCTCGTCGGAGAAAGTTGCAACCTGGACAAACGTCATTGCAGGGTTTTCATCAAGAGCAAGGCATTTACCTAAACAAGAAAAAAAACATGTTATATCCAAGAAGTAAATGATGGTGAGTGGGCGAAGCAGTGGGATCCTTCGGTGTTACTGTAAATCACCTGTGACTCTGCCCACTCACTCGTGTAAATGAGTGACAGAGCGGTGTACAGTTATTTACAAGGGTTATTGGTGATAACTGGTCTAATGTATTGAGTTGTGAATTTCGCTTTGCCTTCATAATTACTGCTTTGTGTTATCGCATCTAACCTGAAGTCGGCAAAGACAAGACTACGCACGTTCCTCTGGTAGTTGTGTGTTGCTGCTAGCCATATTAAATGTATCATATATATCGAGATGCTCAAGCCAGCCGTCCATGTTCGTCATCCTTTTCTTCTTCGTCTTCTGCATCACCGTCATCTCGGCTGCGGCGCTCGCCAACGCCGCCGACGGACAAGCCTTGACCTTAGGTAGCGTCGCCCCTAAAATGCCACATTGTTTGAAACTGTGCGAACAGTGTCGCTTGCGGGTACACTTTTGGTCAAAGGGCTAGAGGCAAAAGTTTCGACATTGTTGGTGAAAAATTCGCTAGATAGACTGATTAGCAGCCAACTAAGTAACAAATGGACAGACCAACAAACCAACGAACCAAACAAGAAACCAACTAACCCACTAACAGACCGACTGACAGACTAACTGAGTGCAGAAACTCTGTAAAGCATGCTTAGTGTTTGGCATGATGACACTTGTGTGACACACGCAAGCAATTACACTCTCAGCGAAAGTTCAAGAAAACCTAAATTCTTTGTGGATTGTGCACGCATCCATCCCTATATGGAGTAGCTGTTGTACGTTACATGTGTTGCGACTGTAGATCCGTAAATCTCGATAAGAAGGCTGGGTTTTCGTGTAGTCATTTAGAGGCAAAACTACTATGGAGGCATGTGAAGCCATAAAATGGAAATATGTTGTCGCTAGCACTGCTGTTTTACCACTGATCGCGACGTTACGGCAACGAAGCCACTGAAGTTGTACGTGTGTATGTATGTATGTATGTATGTTTCTATGTATGTATGCATGCATGCATGCATGCATGCATGTATGCATGTATGTATGTATGTATGCATGCATGCACGTATGTATGCACGTATGTATGCACGTATGTATGCACGTATGTATGTACGTATGTATGCACGTTTGTATGTACGTATGTATGTATCCCAATAGTGCCAACGTCCCACTCATTCACGAATATCGCTTACGAGCACGTTCTGGTTCTCCATTTGTCGGGCGACCACGAGGCACAACGGGTGCGAGTTGGTTCTTATCACTGGCTTCTCCTGGCAAACGGACGCATAGCTCGTCCGGCCGGGTTGACGGGTTTGGTTGTCCCACGGCGCCGTGCCCAGGACGGGAGCCCCCAGCTGAGCGGCCGGTGCTACGAACGTCTCCGGAGCCACCTGCGAGAACAGTCCAGTCCAAGGAGATTTTTTAAAATATTTTATTTCAAACCACCTTGGTCCGTGGTCCCACCGGTCTCTTATTTTTCGAGTTAGTGCGCCTTCAGTGCGTGCGTGGCTCCATTGTATTGCATCGACAAAACTATTGTGGTCACACTCCAGAGACACATTACAGCTGAATTATGCCACCATGATCATTACTGGACAAGAAGTGGCATTGAGCTTTTAACAATTTTCCATTCCCTCTGCTACTTCCCCTTTAATGGTGGGCTCACTTTAGAACTTGTTAATGATTCTTATCGCATCCTAACTGACCCGCCATAGTCGATCAGCAAATAACAGGCCGCGTTGCGAAGCCCGAGAACACCGGTAGGATTCCCGACAAAGGCTGCAGCATTCTGCTGGGGTCCAAATGCAAGCCACCCGTGTGTATACAGAGTTAAGTGCTCGTTAACGAATTGCAGATGGTGAAAAGGACCCTAGTGTGTCGTACTAAGCCCTATATCATGCTTGTGGGAAGTGTAGCTTCTGGAATCGATATTTTTATTATTCTTTACAGCGTAGTGAGACCCTGCCGTGATGCGAGACCTCGGCCAATGATGGCACGCCCGTGTAGTGGGTGTGTCTGCCTCTGGTTTAATTTGAATTTATTTGTGGGGAGAATTAAGAAGAAGACAACCTAGCATCAGCCATTTAAAGTCTAGCAGCGACCTGAAGGCGACTTAGAAACAACATGCATCACCTAGCAAAGGCCTAGAAACAAACCATAGAAGCAACCATATTAGTGTTCCAAATCGTACGGTATTGCTGTTTCAACGCTTGCGCAACTGAGTGCAGGATACGGCATTTTTTTCTAAGCAGTTTCACGTAATCGAGTGTCTATATGTTTGAACGCGTGGTTACACAGAGAAGGCGCGGGGCTTTAGTCTACATTATTGGCTTTCATTGCGATATTCCGCTTATGGAAAGCACCGTATATTGGCCGACGGTGAACGACGTGAACCGCGGGTAGCAGAATTTTTACAAAACAATTTCGTAATTGTTATCACTTTAAGAAAAACAACATAAGCTTTACTACCTATTCAATGAGATTCACGCCCTGTACCCTTCTCTTGGGTCTGCGCAACCAGCATGAAATCGATTCCGAGACCTTGATTAAAGCGGACATGATGGCCGAGAGTTGTGCTGTCAAGCGCGAAAGCTTCCCGCATTTTACCTAGATGTGAGAGACGTGAGTACAGCGTATAAAAGAGCGAGCTCCGGTGAACCCAACATTGTGCAGTGTTGCGCATTTGAACATATCGAAGTGGAGACTAATGGCTATACATTGTTAGCGGAAACGCCCGTTGAGGCGACGTTGTCATTTGTGGCATTCAAGATCACCCGGCCAAATTCGCGAGGCGATTTAAAAACTCTCCTGCATAGTTAGGTTGAAAGACCACCTTCTCACATGCGTAGATATACCGAGGAGAGCGCTTGACTGACTTTGTGATAATCGGAAGGGCCAACTTGTAGCCATAGTATGGACAGTGCCCATTGTTCTCAGGGTTCTCTCTAGAAAAAGAGGGGGGCGGAACAAGTTTTATTTTAGTGAGGTTCCCTTTCTTATTGGTCGTCACCAAAGATCAGTCTTCTCAATAAAAGCGACAGTGAAAATCAAGCGACGGTGTGTTTTTTACAAATACCTGCCTTTCGTTACCAATTACCTGCCTTTGGTTTTCAGATTTCCTACAATAACGGCGGAAAGAGAACAGCTCTTTGAAGGCAAGACCATGAGTCTTCCCTGGACATTATTTTTACAAAAACGTTCATGGATAGAACTTCGCGCTTCCAGGAATGACTGGACAGTTCCAACTGAATGAAGGCGCAGCGCAGACTTTGCGTACCTCCCCCCCCCCCCCTTCGATGCCTAGATTATGGCGTTGGAAGCTCCCTAACGCCCTCTAGCTTACACCTAAGGACAGATCTAATAAGATCTAATAAACACTTGGGTGGTTGAGCAGTCAGTAAGTCAAGTTACTTTCCTGAAAGAACCTTATTGTAGGTACTACATAAGGGCTGGCATTAGGAACTTCACTTTAGAAATAAAAGTAACCAACAGAAAGAAAACAAATGTACACATTTCTTCACATTAAAGGAAAAGATGACCAGTGATAGTGGAGGCAGCAATGTCGAACGCCATGATTACCGATTAGACACGCGTTCCCCTTAGGACCGCGACTACATTAAACCTACGCCGCTTTCATCGTGGCCGACGCACCGAAATACTGTATCCTAGACGCCAATCGTCATCCGTCTTGGGAATGCTGCTGAGTGCCGCGTTGAAGACGTCAGCCGCGTCGCTGTGATCCCCGCTGCATCTGACGACTTCACGCATCGATGGGTTCGCAGTGTGCATGTGCGTTTTGATGATGATAAAGTCGACTAAACCAATGACCTTGTCCAGGCTGTAGACATGTAGCCGTGACTTCACTGGTGGAACGCTTATGATGACATCAATAAACTGTCTCTTTAAGTCCTTGATCAGCTCAACGAAGGCGCCGCTGCCCGTTCCGGGGTTGCATGGTTCTCCCGGATAGTCCCAGTCCACGTTCACTCCCTGCGTGAAACATTAACGACCCAGTTGCATTACTGATCTTGGTGAAATGTTCCACAGCTATGTTTAAGAATGGCATGGTAAAGGTTACTGTGCATAACGGAAGTCTACTACACAGATCATCACCGCGTTTCCTAACGCAACACTTGAGAAACGCTACCTATGTGTTTCGGTTTTGCTTCGTGCGAGAGTTAAATTTCGAGAAAGTGACTTCTTCGAATGGGCGATGACTTTTAGATGCGGAGCACCTAATACTCGAGGCTTGTAGTGCGGCGCCGTCCGCAAGCTTCCTCCTCCTTCTTCCACCATCTGTGCATTCCTTCCTCCTCTACACACCGCGCGCGCTTCACTCCTCCACCATCTGTGCACCCTTCCTCCTCTACACACCGCGTGCGCTTCTCCTCTTCACGAACATTCGCTAGCTGTATAATGTAGCGCGCATGCGCCGTCACGCTTCGAGAACATCGGCAGCTGACGCGCCCGCATGCGCCGTCGCGCTTCGAGAACATCGGCAGCTGACGCGCGCGCATGCGCCGTTACGCTTCTCCCCCTTCTCGAACATTCGACAGCTTACAGTGCATGCGCCGTCGCGCTGTATATATACTCAAGGTCGGTGCTCGCTCGCTCAGTTGCCGCTCGTCGGTTAGTTTGTACGGCGCGTCGACGTCCGAGGTAGCAATGATCGACGTCCCTTCGACCAGCGCCGGCCAAAGTGGCATCTAAAAGCCATCGTGCTCAAAGTTCGTCGCAATAAATAAACACCGCCATTTCGCATACGTGTCGTACGTGTTCACTCATTTAACACCCCATTTCACAACCACGTTAACCAATTTAGCCATCGACCCAAGTAAGTCGCACTTTAACACCCCGTTAACCAATTATATGCTCCGCATCCTCCTCAGTGTTCCCCCGAGGGAAGCTGCGGGCAGTTTTTTTTATGCAGCTACTTAATGCAAAAAGGCGCCTTGCCCCACCGCGATAATCTAGTGGCCGAGGTACTCGGCTGCTGACCCGCCGGTCGCGGGAATGAATCCAAGCTGCGGCTGCTGCATTTTCAGTGCAGGCGAAAATGCTGTAGGCCCGTGTGCTCAGATTTTAGTGCACGCTAAGAATCCCAGGTACGAAATTTCCGGAACCTTCCACGACGGCGTCTCTCATAATCATAAGGTGGTTTTAGCACGTTAAACCACACATATCAATCAATCAAGAAGGTGCCTTGTGATAGTCACTGCATGAAAAAAATGATTTTCGCTCAGGTTACAACAGATGGTAGTATAACATTTCAAACTAATTACAATTTCTTAGTATTACTGATGACTTTGCCACAAATTCCTCAAACGATACTGAATTGAAATATGAATTTAATTACTCAATAATGTGGGCCTTAACAAAGGGCGTGACATTCAATCAGGCATTATTGCCTTTTTGGCTTCTTCTAGAAAGAACAAATGCACATTTTGTTATTTGTAATTCTCTGAAATAAATATGAATATGAATATTATTCGAGACGTCGTTGGTAAGCAGCATCAATGACACAGAAATTAAACTCCAGGATCATAGCTATTGGGTCGATTCCCCGCTGTGGACGTGTTTCAAAACAGCCTTTTCGTGAACTCTTTCATGCACAGTACTCCCTTTTTGGCGGGGTACAGCGTTTTATTTAAAACATGGCAACCTTTTTTGCATAAACTTGTTTTCATGCAAGAGGCAAATAATTAGCGATTTTAGTTCATAAAAATATGAGGTTGTCACTTGAGGTGACAGCCATTCAGTGAGTCTACTGGTTGCTTTCGGTGAAAGTACAGCTGTTCATTTTTACTGTCTATAGCGTTAGCCGCTCGCAGAACATGCTTTCCTGCACTATCAGCATAGTACGAACAGCGCATACACACACACACACACACACACACACACACACACACACACACACGCACCTTGTGGCAAGGTTCTGACAGATTACAATTTTTTTTCACTTTGATCGCCCGAGCTGCTGTACCGAGAGTTCATCACGTGAGCCTATAAAGCGGCTAAATTGTATCGTACCTACTTACTCTGACGAAGGCCGTGCCACGGCTGAAACGTTAGTAAATGCAATTTCCTCTTCAAATATGCTATCTGCAAGTTCATTCAATATAGAAAATACCCAGACCTGACACGCCTTCCCTTCTATATATATATATATATATATATATATATATATATATATATATATATATATATATATATATATATATATATATATTGTTACGAATAATTAGAGCACCTGGTACTATATAAACTCTTTATTTAGGACGAACTTGTGCCCGTAAACTCAAAGCTAAAAATGGTCAGCCTAGAATGCCTCTTGCTCGCTGACTCCAACTTCGTCGGTCTCTTCCTCTGCCCTTCGAGTCTCGTGCCGGTCCCGTAGCGTAACATCAGTGGCGCATGCAGGACGGCGTTCTATGGCGCGGCTCTCTTGCTACTTGCTTGGTGGCTTTTACGAACGCGAATTGTGGCAGCGTCTTCTGCGATGTTCAAGCTGTGGCATTAGTCCCCCTCCTAGCACGCATCGCCCCGATGCATAGAGCCGGCTGAGAGTTTCTAAACAATAGGACTGGTCCTTGTCTTAGACGACGGGAGTCAGTTCACTTGTTGAGTTCCTGTCGTCGTACGGTTTCATCCGTACTACATGTATAACTTCCGGGAGATTCCGGCGTCGTGTTGTGCCTACTTGACCTTCAGGGATCACTTCGTAGTTTAATTGGCCTAGCTGACGAAGAACCCTGTAAGGGCCAAAATAGCGCCGCATAAGCTTTTCTGATAGGCCACGTGCACGTACAGGCGTCCAGACCCACACTTGGTCTCCAGGGGAGTACTGAACAACCCTTCGTCTTAGATTATAACGGTGCGCGTCGACGTCCTGCTGTTAAATGATGCGGTTCCGTGCTAGTTGTCGCGCCTCTTCTGCCCTTTCTACATATTCGCTTATGCCAGGGTCCTCTTAATTCGTGCTGTTGACAGGCAGCATCGCGTCTAATGTCGTTATTACTGTCCGACCATAAACAAGTTGAAATGGCGTGAAGTGGGTTGTCTCTTGTACTGCGGTATTGTATGCAAATGTAGCATACGGTAATATGGTGTCCCAAGTCCGATGCTCAACGTCCACATACATCGAGATCATGTCAGCAAGCATCCTGTTCAGCCTTTCACTTAACCCGTTAGTTTGCGGATGGTATGCGGTAGTTCTTCTGTGGTCGGTGTGCGTTAGCTTCATGACAGACTGTACTAGCCTGGCAGTGAACGCAGTTTCTTTGTCAGTTATAAGAACTTTAGGTGCGCCATGTCGCAGCACTATCTGGGTCACAAAAAACTGAGCCACTTCAATTGCTGTTCCTTTTGTGAGAGATGACGTCCTGGCATACCGGGTCATGTAGTCGGTTGCTACAACTATCCAGCGCTTCCCAAACGATGACATAGGAAATGGTCCTAGCAAATTCATTCCGACCTGCTCAAACGGGATTTTCGGTGGCTCTATCGGTTTCAAAAGACCTGCTGGTTTTAGGGGTGGTACTTTGCGTCTTCGGCATTCTCGACATGATCTTACGTAATGCTGTACTGAATCCATCAATTTTGGCCAGTAATATCTCTGGCAAATTCTTGCCAAAGTCCTACTAATGCCCAAGTGACCTGCCGATGGGTCATCATGACACGCGTCTAAAATTTCCGCTGGCAGTGATGATGGTATCAGCAGTAGGAACGTTTCACTGGTGTGTTGAAAGTTTCTCTTGTAGAGAACGTTGTTGCGGAACGCGTAGGAACGTAGTCCACGGACGAAAACTCGCAGTACATCGACTTGCTGCCCCTCTAAGTATTGAATGAGCAGAAGTAATTCTGGGTGCATTCGCTGATCATGAGCTATCTCCGACACATTCACAGCTCCAAGAAATGCGGAGTCTTGTTCATGCTCAGGAAACGAGGTCTGGACTGGCGCTCGTGACTAGCAGACCGCGTCATTGTGCTTGTGGCCAGACTTGTAGACTACGGTGATGTCATATTCTTGTAGACGCAGGCTCTATCTAGCAAGTCTTCCGGAAGGATCCTTGAGGTTCGCAAGCCAGCACAATGAATGATGGTCACTGATGGCTCGGAGTGGTCTACCGTATAAATATGGACGGAACTTACTGATGTCCCACATAACTGCGTGACATTCCTTTTCCGTAGCTGAATAATTATACTCAGCTTTCGAAAGAGTGCGGCTTGCATAATCAAAAACTTTTTCTTCCCCGTTCTGCCATTGAACAAGAATAGCACCGAGGCCAACGTTGCTGGCGGGCGTATGAATGTCTGTTTTGGCATCTTCGTCGAAATGAGCGGGTATGGGAGGTGACTGCAAACGCCGTCGTAACTCAAATAAGGCGTCTTCTTGCTCTTGGTGCCAGATAAATGGTACACCTTCCTTCGTAAGCCGTGTCAGTGGTTCCGCAATCTTGGAGAAGTTTTCAACGAAGCGCCTATAGTAGGCACAAAGCCCCACGAAACGCCGCATAGCTTTTTTGTCTCTTGGCCTTGGGAAATTTTCAACCACAGTGATTTTATCCGGATCTGCGTGGACACCGTGAGAACTGACAATGTGCCCGAGGAACCGAAGCTCCCGGAATCCAAAGTGGCCCTTTTCGGGTTTGATTGTAAGTGCAGCCATACGAATAGCGTCTAGTACCGTTCTCAATCTCTGTACGTGCTGCTCGAACGTAGTGGAAAAAATTACTACGTCATCAAGATAGACAAGACATGACTGCCATTTGAGGCCGGAGAGCACAGTGTCCATCATCCTCTGGAAGGTAGCGGGAGCAGAACACAAACCAAATGGGAGTACTTTGAACTCTGGAGTCCGTCGGGTGTCACAAACGCCGTCTTTTCCCGATCTCGTTCATCGACTTCTATTTGCCAGTACCCGCTCTTTAGATCCAACGACGAAACAAAGTGAGCATTGCGCAGTTTATCCAACGTATCGTCGACTCGTGGAAGTGGGTACACGTCTCGCTTCGTGACGAGGTTGAGTTTTCTGTAATCAACACAGAACCGCATGGTGTTGTCCTTCTTCCTCACCAGTACTACCGGCGATGCCCATGGGCTTTTGGAGGGCTGCATGACATCGTCGTCGAGCATCTCCTGTACTTGCTTCTTTATCGCCTCCCTTTCTTTCGGGGCTACTTGGTATGGATGCTGACATACTGGTCTAAGATGCCCTTCGATTACAATACGGTGCTTTGCTACAGGTGTACGTCCGACTTTCGATGAAGAGAAAAAACACTGCGAATTCCTTGATCAACTCCACAATCTGGTCTTTCTGCAGAGATGAAGCTCTCGGTCAATATCTATTTTCTCGAGGACACTGTCCACTGTTGAGGGCGTTGTGGGTACTTTTCCTAAGGTGCAAACATCTGAAACTTGTACGTAGTCGTGAAGTGATGCTATGGCTGCTCCCTTCGCCATATGCTGTACCTCGTTGGTAAAGTTAGTCAATAGCACATCAGTGTATCCGTTCCGCAGGTTCACTAGACCTCTCGCCACGCGTATCCCTTTTGTGAGTAGCAGTTCGATATTTCCATCACCTAGTCCGGCATATTCACGAAAAACGTCGCTTTTCACAGAAACTGTCACGCTGATACGTGGCGGCACTGTCACACCTTCATCCACAATACGAAGAGACGAAACAATTGGTTGCTCCGCATGACACACGGCAACAGCGTTCTCTGTAGAGAAAGAAACTTGGGATTTATGCAAGTCGATGATGGCACTGTTCGCTTGCAGGAAGTCCATGCCCAGAATTGCCTCACGGGAACATTCGGGGAGAACAATAAAACTGCAGACGTACACAAGGTCTCTTATTCCCACTCTCGCTGTGCACATTCCTATGGGGTTGACTAAATGCCCTCCGGCGGTGCATATCTGCGGTCCGGTCCAATGAGTGAGCACTTTCTTCAGCTTCTTTGCGATCATGCTACTTATTACTGAGTAGTCTGCACCTGTGTCTAATAACGCTATGGTTTCGACGTCGTCGATTCTGACTTGTAGCTCGGATGTCACGTCACCATTACTGCGCTTATCCGTCATTGTGTCAGTGTCGTCGTCTGATCCGGTTAGCGATAGAGGGTTTTCAGTTTTCCGAAAATCAGCGGCCCTGCCTCCACAGGTCGCTGGTTATAGATTTCCCGTCGAGGGCTTGGTGAACGACGCCTCGGGAAAGTAGATGATGGGTGTGGACTCGGTGACCTATGGCGCATTGGTGCAATCCACCGCGATTCATGTCGCTGAGTGTTTGCATATGCATAGCGCGAAGATAAATATTCTTCGATTTCGTAAGGGTGCTTACCGTTACGAGGGCCGGGTGCATTCACTGGGAAGCCACGTAGCCCGGCCCGACGGTAGTGGCATGTCCGATAAAGATGACCTGCCTCCCCACAGTGGTAGCAGAGGGGCCGCCGGTCTGCCGTGCGCCATACATCACTTTTGCGGGGTCTGGCTTCTGGCATCGGCAGTGGCGTACTGCGAGGAAAGGTCGGTGGCATAACGGGAGCTTGTGCAAAGCTCGGGCGTCTCATGTCTCGCCGTACAACTTGCGCGTACGACAGCTGTGGCTGAGGTTCCGGTTGCGTGTGGTGTGGTACCTGAGGCTGCGGTTGAATAATTGCTTGTCGCACTTCTTCACGTACAACGTCTGCGAATGATGGCATCGCTGGAGGACTTTGGAGAGTTGCAGTTTTTGGAGCTCCTCCTTAACAATAGCCCTCACCATTTCTCGGAGGACGTCAACGTTGGTGGGGTGGGTTGTTGGCTCCGCCCTGACTGAAGAGACGCTGAATTCTCTGTTGTACAGTCGCGCACGTTGTTGTAGTGTCCTTTCCATGGTCGATGCCTCGGACCGGAACACCGCCAAAGTTCGCGGTGGATTACGCACCAGGCCTGCAAAAATCTCTTCTTTTACTCCGCGCATTAGGTGCCGCAACTTCTTCTCTTCGGCCATGTTTTGGTCGGCTTGGCGGAAGAGCCGCGACATGTCTTCTATGTACATGGCCACGCTCTCTTTATTCCGTTGGTTCCTTGCCTGAAGAGCAGCCTCTGCCTTCTCTTTGCGGTCCGTGTTCGGATAGGTTGCGATTAGCTCTCGTCGGAAGTCGTCCCACGACGGCAAGGATGCTTCGTGGTTCTCAAACCACGTACGTGCCGAATCTTGCAGGGCGACGTAAACGTAACGAAGTTTTCGGGCTTCGTCCCAACCATTCAATCGTGCAACGCGCTCGAAGCCTTCAAGCCAGTCCTCGGCATCTTCAAAGGTCTCACCGTGGAAGACCTCTGGTGTACGTGGCGAATCCACAATGAGGTGAGATGGAGATGGCATCGACTGGGTGGCCATCGCAGTGACGCTTGTGCTTGAGGTCTCGACAGGTCTTGATGGGTCAATTAGGGGGCCAAACTCGGGCGGCTCTCCACGTAGTCGGCGACTCGTGCGTTGGTGCACAGGTGTCAATTCTGCTGGCATCAATCTTCTGGGATCTGGGCTTCTCTCCCTTGCCAGTGGTGGGCTTGGAATCATACACAGCACGTCCACCAGATTGTTACAAATAATTATAGCACCTGGTACTATATAAACTCTTTATTTAGGGCGAACTTGTGCCCGTAAAGTCAAAGCTAAAAATGGTCAGCCTAGAATGCCTCTTGCTCGCTGATTCCCACTTCGTCGGTCTCTTCCTCTGCCCCTCGAGTCTCGTGCCGGTCCCGTGGCGTAGCATCGTGGTGAGTGCAGGACGGCGTTCCATGGCGCGGCTTTCTTGCTACTTGCTTGGCGGCTTTACGAACGCGAATTGTGGCAGCGTCTTCTGCGATGTTCGAGATATATATATATATATATATATATATATATATATATATATATATATATGCCGAACGGTGCATGCTTCCGAGCATGAGCCGTCAATAATTTGACACGTAGGGCTCACGTGCTTCAAAAGAGAAAAAAAACAAGAAAAGTTGGCTACCTGAAGTGACCACCATGCTGGCATCAGTTAAATAAGCTTCCTCCCCCGGTTATAATGTTATGGTTTTCAAACAGCTCCATCATGCTGATTATCAGTCTCATAGTCGGCAAAGCGTATGGGCATTGTTGAATCAGCTTGGCTTGAATGTGAGGAATGTGGCCTTCCAGAAGCGTTGTTGAAGGATTTCTGTTCAGATTCCTTTTGTCTTTTCTGTGTATTTCGCTCGTTCCCACGATCGAAGTTTAAAATTCGTACGAAACTTCTGTTTGTTTTCTCATATCTTAGCAAAATGTTTTTTCCTAAGAAAAGCGGACATTCTATTTTACATTAGAACGCATATATAAAAATAATGAACAACTTCCTTGAAAGTAGTTTTCCTAAATTAATTCATGATTAGCAAATTACGAGATCAAAAAAGTAATTATTCAGGTAACACATTACAGGAACAACAAATTTAGTCACTGTAACTGTACAGAGTAACTATGTTTGCCCACCACGGTGGCGTAGCGGTTAGGGTGCTCAAAAGCTGACCCGAAGGTCACGGACTCGATCTCGGTCGTGGCAGTCGCATTTTGATGCAGGCAAAATAGAAGAGGCCCGGGCACGTAAAGCGCCAGATAATGTTATTTGCATTCTTTTGTTACTGAAAAGCCTGGAAGGTATGGACTGTTTTTTTTTAGTATGACGCTAAACTGATTCTGATGCACAGCGTCGCGATTGAAGTTCGCGCAATCACTTATCCATTGGATCTGTGTACGTCTTTTAGATCTGAAGCGAACGTCATGAGTCGCACTGGTGAGTATGACTCTGGCAAATATGATGGCAGGTATACTGGCAACTATGATTCATACCGTCCATGGGTTAGTGAGGCTGCCCGAACTTGCCACAACCTTGCACAACAGTTTCTGGGTAGACAACAGCTTATCACTCTAGCAAGTATGAGGGCAAGTATACTGGCAACTATGAATCTTACCGTCCACGGTTGAAACGGGTTGTTAAGCTCAAGCCAAACGGACGCCACCAATCGTCGCCGAGTTTCGGGGTTACCGACCATTAAAGACAAGTTGGCGTTGTCTTCGCGCGCTCCGCCCAAAGCGAAGTACACGGAGATGTTGTTGCCCCGGTGCAAAAGTTGGCCGTTGTAAAGCATTACTAGCAAGGAGTTCTTGTACGTCTTTGCACTCGGGTACTTCCACACGATGCTGCCGTCTTTCACGTCTACAGCATAGCCATACCAGAGTATCGCCGTGCAGTAATGGACCGGGATAAAGTCAGGGAGGTAGGTGTCCTGGAGCCGCCAGTATCTGAAAGCAACAGCATGGACTTCAAGTTAGCGCGCTAAGAATGTAATCTTGATCGCATATCAAACAGTATCTGAGGGCATGCTATGGCGGTTCGTGTCGCGTACGTAGTTAAAGCTCGCAAAAACTCTATATTTGAAGCGTATGCGTTATCATTCTACCATCTGCATGTGCTACAATGTATGCCTAGGAAACCTTCCTTTTCTTTGCCGCGAATTACATCCAGTGTTGAGATTAGTAATCTTCCGTATTACCGGCGTGTGACCAACACCTGAAAGCTGGTGCCTTGGCTGTTCCAGCAAGAGTATTTTAAAGCGTAGGACAAACAGCTTCAAAAGAACCCTTTTTGTTGTACGACCCTGGTTTGTATGTTTAAAAAACATGATCACTCCGAAAATGGAACTTACGAGTTAGGATCAAGAGGAACCGATAATCTTCAAATATTCCAACCATTCGCGACAACTATGAATTCAACCCCGAGGCACCGCACTGTGACACTAGTAAGAATTCGCCCACATGCGTCTGCATCCGATCAGGACTTGGATTCTTGTGAACGGATACTGTAAGATCGTATTGTTTGGTTAGAAACACGCCCTCGATCGGAATGCAATCAAAGAAGAATATTGGAGACAACATGGGACCAAATTAGAGAATTTTCATAAGCTTCACGCGGCTCTGTCATGAAAATTAGTCTCACCCACGTCTAAAACGCTGTAAACTATTCTTATTACTTGCACTCACAAACCAGGCCATTGAAATGCATCAATGAAAGCAATGAGGTCTAAAGTTTGCCGACCATTCGCTCTTTGTCTGGTACAATAGGTGAACGTTGAATAAGTAAGTGGAAAAAGCTGATACCCATATCGCGAAAAAACCGTGTGCACGTTAAAATTCATCGCTATGCGAAGAAATATTGTCATTCTTGCATAAAATTGAGCATCCAGTCCATATTTCACACGTAATCTTTTTCCCAGACGTGAGACACACGATGAATTTACTGAGGCGGCTGCTGGCGGAATTGTGTCGTGAAAGTCAAGCCAAGCCATGGGGAGAGAGAAGAGGAAGACGACGACGGGGCGTTCGAGAAGAAGGATCGGAACGAAAGAGTGGCAGGCTGAAGCGCTCGTCGGGTCGTGGTCCCGAAGCCTACCTGTGCCTGTGGTCCGCACGAGCCTGGCTCCCTTCTACCGTGTGATCCAGCAGCCGGCGCCGGTCCGTTGTACTCGGATCCGGGCGTTTTCCAGACCTGGGCCTACTACTGGCTGTCCGGGACGTGCTTGCCACACATCGACTCTGCCTCACGCTCCGCTCCGACCATGCCTGAGGCATCGCTGATGTCGGCGTAAGACACAACGCAACGCATCGACTCATCTGCCTTCGACGTCACACGGTGAAGTGTTTCAAACCTTGTGTAGTGCAGTGGGGGACTACGCTAAGCGTCAGACCTTGTCTTTCGAGAACGTGTGTCGTGCTCGTACTTAAGGCAGTTCTTCGCTGTTGCCATGTAACACGCCAAGAAAGGCTGAAGCCTTTATATGCCACCTCAGTTCCAGAAGTATTTAGGAAATGCTGGCTCCCTCAAGGAACTCCACAAGAGAAGGAGGCATGAGAGCCTTTTGACGTGAGGTTAGGAAATGGTCCGAGGGGCCCGAATACAAGTCTGATTGCTGACTTAGTGCATAATCTGACACTCACTTAGCGTTAAAGACGCAGATGACTGGTCGCTGCTGTATGTCCTTTGTGGTCGTATTCAGAGACTTTCCCGTGGGCACCGGGGCCGACGGCGCAGGGGGCCTTTCGTCCGGTTCCATCTCCTTGCTGCAGAAATCTTGTATGGTCTCTCCCGGTTGCAGAAGAAAGCCCTCATCAGGGTCAAAGGTCACACGAGGTAAACCAGCAGACGTCTGTTACAAAACACAAAACGACAAGCAGTTATTATAATACTATAGTTTCAGTATGTCGCGTACAAAAAACTAATGGTGCGTGAATGGTAATGACACATAAAAAGTACAAAAAAGTGCTCGTTGTCGGCAATATTGATTGCCAAGGAGAACGGTTCAATATACTGCAGTAATAAAAACGAAGGCATCGAAGAGGACTAACCAGGCAACACATGCACTGGTGTTACGACAACGTTCATCGAAGAAAGTTCCACCCCCTCCTGGTCATCCTATATTTCGCAAGTTTAGTTCCTTACTGCACTGCTGGTTACAGCTCACTTTGCAACAAGATGCAATTGTTAGGTATTCAATTACCAGAAAATATAATTTATTTACCCAGACTGTTGCAGTTTCATATTATTAATTGATGAATTTAAAAATTGCAATAAAATGTAATGTGTTTCGTACAGCACTGATTCATTCCGCATTTCAGTTACAGTCTCCGCCGTCGATCGCGTGACCCGTCTTCTGCCTTACGAGGCTCCTACTTGCCCATCGCTTTGTCAGACAACGCATTCTATAGTGAACGTGAACACGGGCTCTAAGTCAGCAAGGCCAATGTCACAGTAAGAAGAATTAATACATCCTTACGCTAATCCTGCCCCGTACTTCAACGCCTTGGTGCATACATTTAGGGGCGAAGCTTCTTGAGTCGGGAATAATTCCCTCCTCCGTATTTATCTAAAATGTAGTCAGTGCCACCTTTAGTTTATGACTTGGTCAATAGATGGTGTTGTGTGCATATGTCCTTGGAATAATATAACTAGATGGTTTTAGTTGTTTTCAGAGCATATTCACGGAGTGAATGATGATGAGTGGTACCAAGCGTCCGTAAGTCTGTCTGTTCACCCGTCCGTCCATCTGTCCATCTGTACGTGCTTCCGTCCATCCGTGCGTACGTCCCTCCATCTGTCTGCCCAAGTTTCTTTCCATCCTTCTATCCATCTGTCTGATGGTTCATGCTTCCGTCCACCTTTCTATCCATCCGTCCGTTCACCTGTCTGTCCGTTCGTGCTGCGTTTGTCTATCCATGCGTCCGTCTGTGCCTCTGTAGATCCGTCTGCGTGTCTGTCCTCTATGCTTCCAACTGTCCCGGAATTCGACCGTTGGTCCGTCCGTCTGTACGTCTGCCCTTCCCTCTATCCAGGCGTGCGTGCACCTGTGTCCATCTGTCCGTTCGTCGTTCCGTTCGTGTGTCCGTGCTTCCGTCACTCCGTCCGTCGGTCTATCCATCCGTGTGTCTGTGCCTCCGTCCGCCTGTCTGTCCAGACGCACGGACGGATGGACACACAGACATATAAATGGACGCTTCACCTTAGTCATTATTCACTCTATGAATATGCTGTGCTTTTTTGTTGTATCATGTTACTCAAGAAATTTAAATTGGTATTTCTGCAATCTAATCGATAAACATGAAGATGGCTTGTGTCAGAGAAGCTTTGGCATATGTCTGCATACTGTGTATTGGGTAGTATGCTTTACCACGAGCAGTTGCACGCGTGTTATGAAAACATATAATACGCTCAGTAACGTATGTGGCTTTTCTAATGAGTGACTGGCTTTAAACTCTGACGTTCTTATGACAATCACATCTTCTTATGCCCCACGATAATGCAATGTTGTATAGCACAATATTACTGTGATATTACATGTACTGTGAAGCATGTATTCAGCATTCAGCATGCGTGTGTTGTGTGTTTCTAAAACATGAACGTGATTTTCACTAGATTTTCAAACACAGAAAGTCATTTTCACTATATTTTTTAGTATAACATTCGCTTTCTACGTTAACGAACCCAGATCTATCCCCATTCTGACTCAGAAATATTTATTATTCATTTTACTTAAATCTTTTTTTTTCGATTTCACGGTCACGCACAAGATGATTTCCCACTCACAACCAACAACGCACACGCCAACGCCCACAGCGGAATTTCTGGGAAACGGACTCTTTAATGCTTTCGCGTTCACGGAATACGTGCCTGTTCTTGCCACTCCACCAAAAAAGTCACGTTATACATTGTCTCACCTTCGGTATGGTAAAAGGCGAGGACACGCCGGTGACTCTTGTTGCCACACCGGGGATGACCATGGAGGTCGGGAACGGCCTTCCCGGGCGCGTGAAGAACGTCAAGAACACGACCATCGGGATGAGCGCTGTGATGAAAACTGTTGAGGACAGCATCCACAGCAGCTGCCACCAACGACTGTTCTGGAGACCTGCGTATGACTGCGACTAAAGCGCAAGAGACAGCTCTTAGAATGTCGCCATGGTGAGAGGTTGGGTTGGGCTCGGGAGAAACAATGCGTTAATACAGTTGAAAAAAATATAGTCGCATAGCTAACTGCAATGAAAACGCCGATGAAAGAGAAACCTCTCCTAACAGATTTCTTATAATTACAGTGATAATATCAGGAGATGGCGTATTACATGCGAAGTAGAGTATTCCATAGCCTGTGTCCCTCCCTCCCTGTGGCGGCATCCACCCCCACTGCGCATGCACATCTCCTCTCCGTCTCTCTCCCCCCCTATCTTCCCCTTCTCCCTCGTGAGTCAGCGGCAAAGGAAACAAGACGATTCCTCAGTACACGCGATCACTATGTAGTCCTTGGTCGTGGGTCATGCGGCGTTCCACACTTCTATGAGACAGAGCGCGCCTGCTTTAGATAGCACGGTATGACGTTTGATGTCTCACGCCTGTGCGTGGTGGGGCCGGCTGTTTGTGAGGGCTATAGTCATGCTTACCAGCAGCGTTAGTCAAGTAGAGGTTCTTAATGTTGGCGCACCTGCTTAAGACGACGTAGATGGGCTTCTGTGGGTGCCGTTCACCATATCTCTGCTGCTTCGCTTTCACGCATGGTTCCGTTTAGCGAAAGATGGCACGATATTTTACCTATCTTTATTTCCC